TGGGCACACACGCACACGTGCCCGGTGTGAGTTTAAGCCACCAGGTCCAGGACCCGAACCATGGTCGACTACATGGGAGTCCAGCGACATAGCCATTACACCAACTGCTGGTCCCCCATCTCCAAATTTTTAATGTTTAAAAGTAATTCACAAATTGAATTACCTATGGATGACAAAAATCTAATTCAAAGAAGTTAACTGCAATATTTTCAGAACCTCTCAAAGTAAAGTATACATCCTTAGGGATGTTACTTTGCTATTTCCCCTTGCTACTAAGAGGGGATTTTAATAATTTATGACACTTAAGTCTCATTTCTAGCTCCAAATTATTATGCAGATCATTTTACTTTTAAAAAAAAACATTATTTCAAGAGCTTTTCATAATTCACAATCATTAGATAGAATTTATTAAAGATATGGAGGTAATTCTAATAGTGTCTGACATCACTTTAAAATCGAAGGCTTCAACTACAGATTAATTGTAAGTAATTTTTCTATATCTTTATTTACAACACTTGCTTCAACATGTTTTTAAGCTATTTTTTTCTTATTGTCTAAAAAAGACTCCCCTCAGACACAAAATCATATGGGTAATTATTACATACCTTTCTAAAAGTATACCCAAATTCAAATACAAATACAGCTGCTATATTATTGTAATAATGTTGACACCTCTTTCAATAAATAAATTGTACACATATACAAAAATTGTTGAGAAAACTCTCCACCTACATTGCATGCTTCTTGAGGTGGAAGTACTCTGTTTTTAATTTTATCCACCACTGCAGATATATAATAGGATCCAAATAAATATTGGTCAAAATGATAGAAGATGAAGATATTTAAGTTTTTACATATTTATATTTTTCCTATCTGATTTCTAATATCCTGGAAGGAATTATTAGGGTGGTTTTGTTATTTCTTTCATCCTTACAAAGTTCAATATATAACTAACATTTGGAAGAATTGAAAAATGCTGAGAAAACTCTTTGTTTTAACCCTATAGCATCATAAAAGTCACAAACTTGGGACCAGCAGATAGCGTAATGGTTACATGGCTGGATTCCCACACAGTTGACTGTGGTTTGAGACTTAGATTCAGCAGCTTAAAACTCATGTCAGGTGCGTGTGTGTATATGCCCAAAATCCCAAGAGAAGAATGAAAGAGAAGGGATGCAATGTAGGTATCCCTCCTGAGAGTGATTTCTCACTTTCTTTGTCTCTTGAGCAAGTGTACATGCTCTGTAGCAAAAATCACTCTCTCTCTTTTAAATCTCTCTCTCTCTTAAATATACATACACACATAATTACATATATAATTGTATATATACATACTTAACAAGAAAGTTAGAAATAACTGAGTTTAACTCCTAGCATCATGAATCAATTTAGCCCCTTTTGAATACTTTCAGTAAAGAATCATCCACTATAATTACAGGATATAGTTCCAAGAATCCCATTCTACTAGCATCAAGAACGTATACCCCCCATTTATAAGTGGGAAATATTTTAAGAGTTTAAAGACATCACTGTGACTATTCAGAGCCTTTACATTCGGGGGTGGGGGGGTAATATTCCTTTATTCATATGACAGAGCTTCTATCCTCTCTTTAAGATGGTAGTTCCTCAAATTCTTGGCTTTCCAATGGTCTAAAATATAGAATTGAAAAGTAACATCCTAAATATGCTCCCACCAGAACAAAACACAATAATACTAGGTTAAATCACATGAAATTGCCAATACTCAACTGTTTCTGACCTACAAAAAAATGACGATTTCATATGGCTCAATATAACAGCATTATCTTCCCCGATGTAAGCACTACCCATCCATCAATGCACTCTCAGATTGCATTAGCTTTTTAGCAGCTGTGTAACTCCACTGCTTCGTATTAGGTTTGAGGCCAAGTAAATCCCATAAGTAATTTTCCCATCAACTTCTGGACTTGGGTAAGGAATTTTACAGAATTTTATGATTCAGGAATTTACATACTTGCTATTTACTAGTTGATAATTGCAACTAGAACTTGTTATACAAATTCTTAGAATCCCAATGTCAGATACCGTTATCAGTGGTTCACAGTTAATCCTCACAACATTCATAAGAGCCAGAATTATTATCATTCTTTATGTTACATATGAGACAACAGTCACTCAAAGATTCAGGGCACACCTTTCTTTAAATTTTGCCAGAGGGCACATGTGCCCACCAGAGAGAAACAGAAACAGAGAGGGAGAGGAAGAAAACATTTTCCATAGAAAACAGTCAGGCCACAATCCCTCCTCTTTTACCTCTATCTCTTTCTGGGATTTGGGGTACAAAGGCACATCTGTCTGTTTTGTTTCTCAAGCTGCCAGATCTGGGACTCAAAGAGCACAGAAGGCCATATAGGATCCAGCTGCCTTAACCACAAGGCCATGGAGCTTACTTGCCAGTGAATGCCTTTAATCACTGCATTATATTGTTCTCAAAATAAGGAAACTATTTTATCTTTCTCAAGTGGTTTTATGGGATTAAGTAACAAATATAGTATATTTCATTTTTGTTCACCTCTTTCCTTCAGCAAGTTCATTTAGCAGCTAAATGCTATAAAATGCTATCTCGTACATCTGGCTCTTCCCTTCTGTTCTTCCATTCTTTTGTTCTTTAACACTTTTAGCTCTTTGGAAGTTCTTTCAAAATTGCCTCTTAATTGGTATCTTCCCATCTTTATCCATCTGCTCCGATCCACTCTGCAAACTCTGTTCTCACCCTCTCCATTTTTCACTTTATTTTTATACCTTTTCTGAGTATTATTCACTCTTATACTTTCTACATATTCAAAGGGGAAAAATAAGCAATCAAATATTTTGTTTTCTTTTAATATTATGACACTTTTCCCTAAAAAATAGGCTTTGTCTTCCATTTGTCTTTCAGAGTCAAGTTTAAGAAAATAATAAAGCCCCTCAAAAACTTAACTTAGAGCTTGCTTTCCCCTTATAAAATCACTATGAGAGTGTTTATATCAGGTAAGAATTCTGCATAGCAGGCAATATTCCAGAGCCAAATGGCCTGAGCTGAAATCCCCATTCTGTCATATACGACTGGGAAACTTTGGTCAAGTCACTTAATCTTTCTCTGCTTCAGCTTTTCCTTGGGTAAAATAAGGATTACAATTAGCACCCACCTCCTAAGGTTGTCATGAAAGTAAAATCAGTCAATATATGCTAAGGGTATGGAACAGCAGTTAGCCATCATTATTATTATGAAACAACTTGTAAGTTATGTACAAAATTTACGTGTCATTGCTTAGGCAACAGAAAAATGTGAGATTTTTTTTTTTTTAAACAAGGGAGATTTTGAGTTGAGCCTGCCTTTAAACTAATACCACTTGAGCAGCACCCAATTAAAATGAGCTTCCTGGTTTAGTTCTAAAATATTTTATACTGTCCTTCCTCAAACTCTCCTTATCTAATAAAGGTTCGAGTTGCTCCATTGTTAAAGATTTGCATTGGCCCAGCTGCCTGGTCCTGTAACTTAGGTACACTTATCTTGGTTTCTTTCTTACTCCCTAAAATGTCATTTTCTAGACACTCCTGAGAAATATGTAGCCCAATCTAGCCTGACACCTGTGGTGGGTGAGCAGCTCCACTGGATTATCCCCAATCTTTGAGAAAGAGAAGATGAGAGTGAATGACCACAAACAGTAGTTTTTTCAGAACATAATCAAATAAATAATTAGATGAACGTGAGAGGAGTATAGGAGAATGCTACAACAGGGAAGACAAAAGAGAACGTGGATCTGACTAAAGGAAGGGGCTTATCTGAGAGTTGTTTTTTGCTTTGTACATTTTTCTTGGGGGGGAAGAGAAGTCATAGTGTTGGATAACTAAATAAATGAGGACAGAGAAAGATGTGCAAAAGAAAGTCACGTGGCTGTAAAAACTGGTTTTATATTTTGACTGATGATGGTGTTAGCCACATTTGGAGCAAAGAAGAAGCAGACATAGGATAAGAGTGATAAATTGACACTTGGATAGGTAGAGTGTAAGGTAAATCTCCACCCATATATGGGAATGTGCAGGAGAACTAGAGCTCAGTATCCCACTGACCACTGACCCATGATCAGTAGGGACCATTTTGGAATAGTTGTCATCCCTCAGTTTAGAGCATACATTACAATAATCCAATCTTACCCTTTGCCTCACAATTGAGACACATCGATGAAACGGTACAAAGCAATCTGTGACAATAAACACCACAAATTTCACGAGGGAAGTCTAGCTAGAAACGACAACCTCATTAGAACACTGCACTGATGCTGAGCTAACAAGAAACCGCAGGCAGATAGAATGCTTTGTATTCCAGCAGGCCTGACCCTGCAGTGATCATCCTTGTATTTGAACATAGACATACTCTAGAAAATAAATTAATTAAAATAATAATTCAATTTCTTTGCTTTTGTATCATTAAATATGTATATTTGTATTAGAAAGCTGTTTCTATTTTCAAATAAAATTTTTTACTGGCAAAAAGTAGGTTATATTTGATATCAAGCACCAAACTTAACTTTTTAACGTGGAATTTTATGAAAAACAGTTATTGACTTGAAAGCAGAGACCTAAGTGCACAGACCTAAATTATATTAAAAACTAATGTCACGTAAATTGCGAGATATTAAATTTATATTTGACTAAGAAAGTACAAGTTTCATGCCTACAGTATTCCACAGAAGGTCATAAATCCATGAAGCATTCTGTATTATTATTAAAAATAAAACACAAAGATAACATTCATAAAATATAAAAGAAACTCAATCTTTGGTTGAAAAATACTTAAAATGACTAAAAACAGGAAAGTATCATTTTGATCAGGTGTAACTTATGCTATGTCCAGTGACTTAAAAAAAAAAATGTATTATTTTTGAACCATGGTTAGCCATATGGGAGTCTAGCATCTTCACCACCATGCCACCTACTGGACCCTGACAAGCGATTTTTAAAAAACTTTTAAATCTTACCTCTCTCCATTCTTTATTCCCAACTCCTTGTACATATAAGACACAAACTACAAGAGATGAAAAATATACATATATAAATGTTTATTATACGAATGTATACAACTTATTTTTCAGCGATCCAAAAACTAAAGCAAAATTAAATATTTAAGTCTTAACCTTATACTTGCAAGAAAATTAATAATAAATTATCAAATAATTAAAAATAATTTTTAAAGAATTATTTATTTAATTGTATTTATTATTATTATTTTAAAATTTGAGAGAGAGAGAGAACAGGAAAGTAACAAACCAAGCCACCAGGTCAGGGACTTGAACCACAGTTGGCCATGTAAGAGTCTAGCACCTTAACCACCACACCACTTGCCAGCCCCTGATTAAAAATTACTTAAAAAAATAAGAAACTATACTGGGATTTTTGTAAGCTAAAATACATATAACTTGACACATACAAAATATGATAATTATTTGCTGATGTCTTCCTCTGCATTATTCTAGAGATGAGGATAAATTTTAAAACCATAGTTGAATAGTGTGAAATACTGTCATCGGGAAAGTCATGATACTTCTTTGCATAGAAAAACACATCATGACTTTTCTGATAACCTAATATTTCAGTACGTTACCAGACATAAATCCAGCTCTTAAGGTACTTACAGTACTCAAAGTCATCATAAGAGGGTGAGTTGAGGCAAATCATGTCCTACATGTAACATTTTCAACTCCCATCTTCAAAATTCATAACAAGTAAGGAATCTTGTCAACCAAGAAAGGCCTTAGAGATTACAGACAAGGGAAAGATGAAGGGATAAGAAAAGTCCCAACCACTTGTCAAATGTGTCCCAGGGATTTCTAATACTCACAGATCGTGACGCCTTTCCCAATGACTATTTCAAGAATCCTTTCACACCTGACAAAAATCTCTCCCCTGTAACCAAACCACATTTACTCACATCTTTGCAAAAGTAAAGAGCTATCGAATGTCAATTTCTAAATATTACAAGATTTGGGAATGCTAATTGACTTACACAATGAATTCTGCTATTTTCTAATTCAAACTATTTTCTTTTTTTTTTTTACTTCACAAGTTTTCTCCAATTTTCAATATTTCTAATTAGGAATCCAAAAAGTCAGGCCATATTAGAAAATATATATGCTCCTTTAGGCTATGTATGTGTTTATATATCACTTTTAGTTTTCTAAAAAGAAATAACCTTACTCTTAGACTAAATGACTGAAAACTATGGCCCACTGGAAGCAGCAGTTTGCATAGTGGTTAAGGAACTGGACTCCCACATGGCCAACCATGGTTTGAGCCCTGGACTCAAACATTATTTCTACTATATGTTCACACTAAGGCGTTTACTTTTTGTGAAGTTTAATTTATTTTCTTCTCTAAAGAGCGAGATGGGGATGGGGGGAAGGGAGTCATCCCCAACAAGGTTTTCATGCCACAATTCAGCCCCGGTTTCAGACAGCCAAGATCACAGACATAAGCACACACAGTCAACATGCACGGGGAAACCTTTGGATGTACACCCGGTCCTTCCCACATGGCCTCCACATCACAGGGCCTGCATCACTGCCACAGGTGCCCATACCAGTTCTTCATGTCAAAGGGAACTGGCCCACACTGGCATCATCTCATTCTCAGCTTATTCTCAAAGTGCTAAGCAGCTCCCTCTTTAGCCACAGTTCTGCCCTGTCAGAGGAGCATGCAGGGACTGAGACTACCCCCTTCTTGCTTTCTAGGCTTTAAGACAATTATGTAAATAAAAACTATGAGTTTGATACAGTTTTTGCAAAATCGAGTAAGTAAATAAGTAGACTGTTTCAAAAAGCAAGTAATACGTACTTACTTGGGTCAGATTTAGAAAACGTGTCTCTGTCAAGAAGATTTCTGTTGAATAAAACACAAAATGTTAGATAGGTATAAGGTCAAACTATTCCTGTCATATTAATATATAAAAATGTACTTAACTATACGTAAATGCTTGTGTCTGCGTGCTTGGTTCTCATTTGGGGACTTTTCTGAGAATTTCCGAGGCATGCACACAGGCCCGAGATTTAAACCTGATAAACTGAGGGTGGATCATGGCATGAGAACCCCACTGGGTGCTTCTCTCACTCTCTCTCTCTCTCTGTCATGGAGGAAATTGATAAGTTAAAAAAAAAAAAAAGAGAGAGAGAGAGAAAAAAAAATCTATTCGAGAAAATTAATTTTGTAGGTTTCTTTTTAACCCTCCTTTAAGATATACAGATACTCAGAAATGTTCCCTGAATTGAATTATGAGTTGTTACTAAAGCAAACCTTCCTGGGATAAAGAGCGTATGATCACATTGGTCCATACAATTCAGATACAGAAGTGAAGCATTGCTTATTGGCCTGTGTGTTACCTCAAACCTGGTGAGTATGATGCTACTATGGTTTGGGAATTAAAGATAAAAATACAGATCCTGCTTAATGATTCTCTTCAGTGAAGGAAATGACTAAAGATAAACAAGGCCATTATGAACATCTATTTATTCTATGTTAAAGGTATTTCCACGCCTACAACAGAATATAAGTAAGAAATCAGTAAGTAGGAAAAACTGGATTCCTCTGATGTTGGGACAACCTGTTAACCTCCATGATAGCAATGTAGTCTTCTATATCATGTTCCTAGCAATAACCTTGAGAAATCATTAAAAAAATTAAGTTCAGTCTGCTAATAAGGGAGGCAAGAAAGAGTCCAGCTAAGCCTGATTTTTTTAAAGTGAAGATTTGAAGCTATATCCTTTTCTGAATAACTTGGTTATCTAGAATGATTAGTCCAAAAGTTCAGATTTGTGCTTCATATTCATCTTCCATTAATTGATAATAATTTGTAACAGCTAAATTACATTTCAGTGTTTAATACTTATAATAAAAATTTCATGTTCAAGCTGTTTTATTTCTCCACCAGCACTACTACTCATGTACATTTATCTGCACTGCCCTTAGTATTTAAAAAGGCTTTCTTTTTTTTTTCACATCAATCTGATACTTTCTTTTATTTCAGGTTCTCAAAAATTACTGCTTCCATTGAAATACTGTGCACCAAGAAAAAACACATTCAACAGAACAATGCAGCACAGACAATAAAATAAGATTATTATGTCTTGAAGTATTCCTAGAAAGAAGAGATCAGACACATTTATATTTGAAATTAACTCAGATTCCAAGACCACTAGGCAGAAATCAAATTAAAATAATCATTTCTGTCCCCTGAGCAGACAACATGACCTCAGCAATGGTTGACAAATAGCAAATTAAAACATTTCCATTTGAGAATTAATCTGATACTACATTCACAAAGGTAGTTCTCCACTTAAAAGGCAATCCTCTAGGTCCTTCCTGTGGCTCTAGCTTTTGCTCATTAAATTTCTTAAGAAAATGTTAATTAAGCTCTTTCTTTCAAAATTCATGAAAATCCAGGACAGATGACAGTGGCACTGTGGCAGTCTGGGGGCTCAAAAACTAGGTATGATTGAGTCTTTAGTGAATTAAATATAGTCAGATAGTCTATTCTATTGTATTCATATGACCAAAGTATGGATGAAGTCATTGCCAAACAGCAATTGGAAAGTTAAACTGCAAATCCCAAGGATGACCTCATGAAGAGCTTGGGAGTCTTATTTCTCTTTGTATAAAGGTTTGTGTGTTTGTTCATTTTATTTTGTTTTATGCTAGAGGGAACCTGCATTTGCCAGAAGGAGAAAGAGCACCTCCAGGGAGCATGGTCACACTGTAGTCCCTTTTCCTGCATTTCTCCATCCCCTCAGATTTGGGGCACATGTGCCTGGCATGTTTTACAGGTTGCTGGAGTCAGGACTCGAACTGAGGTTGGCCATGTGGGATTCTACTCTGAGTACAGCTCACTTAACCACTGCACTAGGGCCTGCCTTATTTGTTTTGCTTTTGACCTTACCATTCTCTGTGATAGATCATCATGGCTGGAAGAAAGCATGTGATGAGTAAAGTCTACAATCAGAGAATCTCAAAGAAATTCCAAAAGTTCATGGAAACGTTGAATTAAAGCATGAGTTTATTTTGGTGCAAACATTTTTTGAAATCCATAAGCTGCCTTTTTTTCATAACATACATTTTTCTATAAACTTTCTGAAGACTCCTCAAATGTCCTTAAGAGAAAATAATGTAATATTAGTGACTTATTCATGTAGGAAATAAACTACAATTTTTAACCCCAAACATAAAATGATGGATTTCTATCAGCAACGGACAAAAATATGATCTTTTAGGTTTGGAAAAGACAAATATTTAGTGACTAGTGACTTTTTTTTTTTTTTTTGAGCGGTTTTTCGCTATAGGGCGCATGTGCTCGCCAGACAGAGACATAGAGACAGAAAGCAAGAAATCACCCCCCCAGGGGTGCCGCAATTCCTTCTCCTCCATTCTCCTCTCAGGATCCTGGGCACACACGCACACGTGCCCGGCGTGAGATTTAAGCCACCGGGTCCAGGATGTGAACCGCAGTCGACTACATGGGAGTCCAGTGACATAGCCATTACGCTAACTGCTGGTTCCTAGTGACATATTCTTAAGTTACATATACTGCAAAAGACAATTTTTATTAACATTCCTCATTTAGTTCAGATTCATGATATGAATAAAATATTTTACCTTCCAAGTGCTATTAGGAATAAAACATATTTACATAAACTAAAATGAGATAGGCTTATTGTGAAGTTTTATAGAGATACTAAGCTATGGCTTAGAATTGGTAAGTGAATGAGTAAGTGCATGCAACTCACTATAGAATAATCTAATGGTGTCAACCCATCTGAATCTGATTCTCCTGGTCTTTACAAAATATCACACTGTCTGGAGCAGTCCAGAAGAAACAAGTTATTTTCCTAGGAGTGTTGGAAATACGGAATGCCTCCAATTTTACCTATTGGCTGAGCCAAGAGAATATAAAATAAAATAAATTCTTGTTCAAAGACTGGTATGAAGAGAGATGTTATTTACAGAATGAGCAGTGATAATTGGAGACCAAATCTGACTGTACTTATTCATAGAGAAAGATCATATTTTATATTTTTTGTGTGTGTATGTAAATATAAATATATATACATATATACACACACATTATATATATATATATATATATATACAATGAACTTTAAAAAAATACACACACAAAGAAAAAGAAAAGAAAAAAGAACATATACATACATACACCCTTACATCAACAGATTTATACGGGAAGGCTACACTTCCCTCCATGAGGTTATCATTAGATTGGGCTAGAATGCCTATCAATTTTTAAGATGATGTTGAATTTCAATTCTAGGTTAAAAACATTGAATTGTCTTTTTACTCTGCAAATCTCACATAGTCAAAACAAGGAAGAGAGAAAATTCTTTAAAAGGAAATATGGAGAGGCCAGCACGTGGCATGGTGGTTAAGGAGCTGGACTCCCACATGGGTGATAATGGTTTGAGTCTGGGATCCGGCAGCTTGAAAATCACCCCAGGTGCATGTGCACGTGTGCCCAAAACTCCAGGAGAAGAAGGGATTGCAGTATGGTCTTAGCTCCTGCAGGGTGATTTGTCGCTTTCCTTCTCATTGTCTCTCGTTATCTCTCTCTGTCTCTCTTTGGTGAGCACACACACCCTATGGGAAAAAACTAAAAACAAACAAACAAATACAGTCTGGAAAAATACAGTGTATGTGTTAGAAAAATCACCTGAAGAAATCAATACCCAGTTTATGAGCCATGAATTGCCTGAGTTATTCTAGAAACCACTCATCGTCATATGTCAATTAAACTTCCTGAACTATGAACCTAAAGTGGCATTACTGACATTGCATGACTAAAGCTGAGGCCAAGCAATTCAACCCCAACTTGTATCAAGAAATGTTGGGTTCATAGCAGAGGTATTTTGCATAGATCTAAAATAAGAGAGTAGATGGGCAGGATCTGACTGTACTTATTCATAGAGAAAGATCATATTTTATATTTTTTGTGTGTGTATGTAAATATAAATATATATACATATATACACACACATTATATATATATATATATACAATGAACTTTAAAAAAATACACACACAAAGAAAAAGAAAAGAAAAAAGAACATATACATACATACACCCTTACATCAACAGATTTATACGGGAAGGCTACACTTCCCTCCATGAGGTTATCATTAGATTGGGCTAGAATGCCTATCAATTTTTAAGATGATGTTGAATTTCAATTCTAGGTTAAAAACATTGAATTGTCTTTTTACTCTGCAAATCTCACATAGTCAAAACAAGGAAGAGAGAAAATTCTTTAAAAGGAAATATGGAGAGGCCAGCACGTGGCATGGTGGTTAAGGAGCTGGACTCCCACATGGGTGATAATGGTTTGAGTCTGGGATCCGGCAGCTTGAAAATCACCCCAGGTGCATGTGCACGTGTGCCCAAAACTCCAGGAGAAGAAGGGATTGCAGTATGGTCTTAGCTCCTGCAGGGTGATTTGTCGCTTTCCTTCTCATTGTCTCTCGTTATCTCTCTCTGTCTCTCTTTGGTGAGCACACACACCCTATGGGAAAAAACTAAAAACAAACAAACAAATACAGTCTGGAAAAATACAGTGTATGTGTTAGAAAAATCACCTGAAGAAATCAATACCCAGTTTATGAGCCATGAATTGCCTGAGTTATTCTAGAAACCACTCATCGTCATATGTCAATTAAACTTCCTGAACTATGAACCTAAAGTGGCATTACTGACATTGCATGACTAAAGCTGAGGCCAAGCAATTCAACCCCAACTTGTATCAAGAAATGTTGGGTTCATAGCAGAGGTATTTTGCATAGATCTAAAATAAGAGAGTAGATGGGCAGGAATTTAGCATCACCTTT